CATTTGCCCGTTTGAGGCTAGCCTTATTGAGGACATGATATACGTCGAACACGCTCGTTAGAAAGCTGATGTCTCCAATGGGCTAACGCACAATAGACTTTCGAGAAAGAGTCGAATTTGGAAGAAGAAAGAATACACGGTCGGTAGTCGACGACGCTAAACGTTCGATCCGAACAAGCAATAAAGATACCGTGTATAGATAGCTGAACGGCAACTACAGTCCGCGCCAAAGATGTCTGTTTTTACTCGTTATTCAAAGTGCAGATTTTATTTGATATTGAGAGGGTTCCATCTAGGCAGGTCATGCCAAACACTCAGGAAAGACTTATTTGGATATAGATATTGGCGGTAATAGTTCTACTATACTATGTCGATAATGAGCAACTTGATTCGAAGGCGGCATGACAAACCTCACCAAGCTATCTTTTTGCTGTCGCGCATTTTCCCTCACTAGCTTCATTTGTTCACGGCATATATCGCCGCTAAACATCGATCCGTGTGACGGCCATTGGAAAGTTCGTCATAGCTTACCCCACTAACAGAGCGTGGGCCAACGGTCTTGCTCGGTTAGATCCGTCTATACAGCTGCTGCTGCTGGTGCTGCATCATGCAAACATAGAACTAATGGAGGGGTACTCTTAACGGGGGGTGAGAATGATGAAGCAATCGATGATAATCATGATGAAACTGGTGCCGTTACTGATGATGATGATGATGATGATCATTATCATCTAAGGTAGTTTGTTTGATTTTAGTTTATCCGGGCAAAATTGGTAGTAACAACGGTACGGAAACCATCTTAATGGCACATTGTCGTATTCAAGCGGACTGAACCTAAATGTTCACAAGCGTTGAATGGATCGTCCCAGCGGCGATAATTGGCGTGATAACTTATTCAGATTCAACTGCTAATACACGGCCAAGCTAACAATAATAATAACGAGAAAAAAAAATCTAAGGAAACGGTTTACTAATCTCTTGAAGCTGCTGTCGCAAAGGGAGCAATGGCCAATGACTATTCAGGTTCCTCACAGCTCAATATAAACTTTGAATTAGCCGTTATTATCTGACGTAACTTCACCTAGGAAACCTCAGTAATGTCGGAGCTTTCCACAATAAAGAGAACAAAACATCGCCTATTATAGATCATTATCGTACTCCGACTCGGAGGTACATATTAGTTAGATGTTTGCATGTTAACACACTGCCGCAATCGAGCAGATTTTTAACGGACGCAAAGCGCCGTCTGTCAAAACCTGTATTCCAGACGTGACGTACTACAGGGTTACAGTTTAAACACTGAAAATGCCGAATGTGAACGGAGAACGTGTTTCTTCTAAACTAGCTTCAAGCTAATTAGAGGTGAGTGTATGTATTCTACGTGCAATTTGCGGAATTATAGTCAACAAAACACCCATCTGCAGCATACAGTAGTTGCGACATCTATAAAATGGCGGCTCGTGGAGAAAAATCGATTTTGGTGACATGTAGGAATGGGAGCTATTACTTGCAACGGACATCGGGGGCATGTGCTAGCATGAGACACTCGCTGAAAATAGAACAGTAGATGTAGCTCACTATTTCAAGTCTTTCAAGGAGTCCAGTGACCGTTGACACGGCAGTCTGAACCGTATAGCTTGATTGAGCAGACGGATAACCGCCGTTGACTTCCCCCGCTGATTTCTGCAATTTGAATCCGTGTTATGACGAGGCTTTTTGTATTCTAAAGGGGACAACTTGTGGCCAGGCATATTCCACTATTGATTTATTTCCGAAGGCCATAGATGAAAAAATTACATATGGTCATATGAATAATAGGTGTGTGGCTACCCAGAAACAGCCAGAGCACTGAGAAAGGTGTATAAAAAGTAGTTATAATTTATCATTTTAGGCCAAAAGTTATTCTACAGTCCGCTTGATTCATTTCGCAGGCTAATATTTATAATGAACGATTTAGGATGCTATTAGTATTCTAACATCTTGGGTATCTAACTATTCAATATAAGCTAGTAGGAATACGATCACCTTTTAGGGGAACATCTCGAAGCCTGACTTTGCAGCTCCGAACGCACTTCTTAGAAGGTTTGCTATAGGGCCTAAAAAATCATATCAGGAGAATACGACCCATAGCTTCCATAGTCTATGAACTGTTCTAGCCTACTTTGTCGTCGATCGAATAATGCTCACATTTCGTCTACGCTGATTGTGTACGTCCGTGTTGGGAAGATGCCACCCGTCACTTGGCTGTTTCTAGCGGACTCTTTGGGCTAAGGAACTTCGTCACCTTTGCCATCCCTAAAAGTGATCACATGGCCAATGGTCATAGCTGATGTCACAACACCGTAGCTATCCTATTTGACTTTGAGTTACTTAATACTAACGACGCTGGAGTCCGTTTAGCCTTCTCATGTATATACGATTCTGTCTACTGCATCTTTGCTACATTTGACTACATATTTTTATAGGTGACAACCGAATCACTCTAAAGTTAAAGTTCTGAACCTTTTTGTTGAAGCTCAGACTGATAACAGGGTGTTCAAGTTGCAGCGATGCATTCCAGCTGCTCGAAGCTTATTCAATTTCAAGTTTACCGTATCAGCTTATAGCAGCCTAATATTCCATACAGACTATATTCCAATATATCTAGAGGTCATGTGAATGACTAGAACACGAACTAGCAGTATCTACGATTTGAAAAGGCTCGTGGTAGCTCTGTTTATAGTAAATATGATGGCAACACATTTAATGTTGTAACAACAAACTTCTATATAATTTTGAAACGTTTCTACACAAAAGCAAAGTATCAACACCCGACTTATAGCTTACGGAAGAATGAGATGGAAGAAAGAAGAATCTTTCCTAAGATGGCAATTGTCTGGAAAACATCAAACACTCGATTAAAACGATACTGTTTCTAGATCCTTTCTAATAACATTGATCTCAAAATATCAACCTGTTTTTCATCGCCATTATGAAGGTTGGCGTATGGCTATGGGGAGAATGGTTTAACTAGTGACAAAAACGTTGTATTATATAGCTGTCAATTATGGACAATTTTAATTTCACTTTAGGAGTAGCTCATCTGTTTTTGCATTACTGGGAATTTTCTCAAAAGAAGAAGCCCATATTTTACATAAAAGAGCTTGATTTGCTCAAAGAGTCTTGTAGCTAAATCAGAGAGCCGAGCTGTTTGTGAAACATCAGCCAAAGCATCCAACAAAACTAAACTATGCATTTTCTCACTCGTGACAATGACTCGATAAATAGTAAAATAGGGGACCCGATCTGCTTGTTGCTACGATACGGCAGTAACTTCTATAGACTGAACATACTGTATTTTAAGGTCGTTTAATTTGCTATGATCCTTTAGCATTCACCATATTATTTTTGAAGAATAAGGGAAACAACGTACTTTTAAACGCTGACTAAGACGTATGGCTCATTGCAGTAAGTTGCAACGGCACGCCAATGGCGAATTTCGATTTCGTCTTCTACATCCAATTGAAATGCAATCAAGGGAACCAAGAACTCGTATTGACCGCTAAGGTTAGGCAGGGCCTCAATAAAAGCCAATTGAAGTACAGGAGCGAAGAACCTACATTACGCTTTGAAATCAGGAGAACGACGGAACGGAACAGTCAGCTGTTAAGGCATCGATACAGGCACTAGTTTCTTGCCATAGAAACCGAACGCTTAACTAGACTTTCCGTGAGTCCACCGCCATAGGATTCACTAAGCTAATTCAGATGCACAAAGAAACGCATCTTTTCTACCATAGGTTTAATGTTTTTTTTTTTTTTTTTTTTTGATCCGCTCACAAATATATCATTAAAATTCATCTGATTTCAAAGGTCAAAAGCTTGTCCAAATGCCAATTCACAGCATGCTATGCTAGAACAAACTAGAAGAGCACTTAGTGGACCCCTCTACTTGATTAATTCCATTGAGTATAAGATATATCAGCCCATATCGAAACGGTAGCCTATTTGTAAACTATACAATTGCTTGCTTCTTTAGCTTATTGTCCTTCTAACAATTTGCTTCGTGCAATTTTATTAGAGACATCTGTAGTAAAGGTTATAATCCTATCGCGAATAGAAACAGATTCACCCAAGTAGTATGTTAGTCATGCAAGCAGAACTACCTTGAAAATAGGTTTATCTAGTGAGGGTAAGCTGCTATGTATACAAATGCAGTTGGTCAAAATGCAAAAATTTAAGGTTGGCTTGAAAAAGATCTAAGGTCATATATGAAAATTGTTCGCTTGTATGAAATAAGTTATATATTCAGGAACCTTTTGGGTAATTTTTAGTGCTGTTTTATTCAATTCAACATTACGTTTCGTGGAATTAATTCAGGTTCTTCTAGATTAGGTATTTCGAATTGACCGATTGGTGATACTGCTCCTGTATCTGAAACGTCGTAATATCAATATGACGCTACTTAATAGAGCCTAGGTAGATATTGGATCTTCCTAATTGTTCAGACGGCTAGCGAAGTGGGCACAAAAGGGTTCGCATCTTTATCTTCGACCGGAATTAATAGGATAGGGAGGTCTCATTGACCAGTTTCACCGTGTGTAATATTATCGGAAGGCCGCTAGAGCATTTGGCATGCTTACAAACGGAACGATCGGAATCGTTGTAAACAACGTTTCTTTTTGCTAGATATCCACTGACAGAAGTTACTTTTAAAGGCAAAATGTAGTTGGATTTTGGTCGGTACGATTTTTGAGGCAGAGATTACGAGTAGGACACGGGAAAAGAAACATGTTACACTAATAAGGGCAGGCCGAAAGTTTTGGTCAAGACTGAATTAAAAACCTTTTAAATAGGAGTCGTCCGTCGCGCTAAATGCGAGTTGAAGAAACACTCCGTTATGAAATCGAGCAAATACTAACCATATCAAGCAAACAGTGAAGTAGGGATAAATATCGAATTATTACTTAACATATATATATATATATGTTTATAATATTCAGTAGTTTTTTTATTCAAGCGCACACGTGTTATAGGCATTTAACAGTGTTCAGCGATTTTTATTGGTTACTTAAATTGCGTCTATGTAATAGGTCGACTTATCGCTTCGTCGAATAATAACATTTAGGTATAATTAGTTATAATTAGCATTGAACTAAAATCAACATATGATTCAATGATATTGTCTTTAGGTTTTTTTTAAAAAAATAAAAGATATACACGGTGTTGCATATATATTGGACGCTACGGTTGTTGTTATCATCATCGGCATTATTGTCATATTTTTTTGGTTTTGGAAAATCGGTACAATAGACACTCTCGGGTTTTTGTTGTTTGTTTATTACATACATATATAACATTTAGCAATAATAAACATTTAATAAATGTACATATTTCGGCCATCGTACACAAGTGAATAACCTAGTATATACAAGTAACTGCTTACCTAATATACCCCCATGTGGTATGCTAAATTATCTATTCATTCGCCTTCATCTTAAAGGGCGTTGTTCTGTAATCGCAAATCGACCAGCTCTATAAATCTATCCGGAACAGTAAAACTATAATATTTGTATAATAATAATGATCATCTCAAGTAATTATCTAATGGGAACATACACCTTTTCTACCACTGCCTTTTCGGCTACCTACCATTCTCTTTCATTATTTTCATATAGGAGTTGTTCGGGTACCTATAATACGAATAGTAATAATAATTATATATAATTATAGTGATGGTGTTCTCCCTGTGTCTCTGCCACGTGCGTCAATAGGTTCATTGCGCCATTGGCTCTCATAGGTGAAGCTCAGCTGTTTTGTATTCGAATCACTCATCAGAAATTACACGAAGGGCGGTGTAGGGTCTCGAACGTTGTATGTACGTATGTATGTATGTATGTATGCATGTATGTATGCATGTATGTATATATACGCATGGCATTCGGGCCAATAGGCATAAATAATGGTGCCTAGCTTATTTGTAACCCACCGCTATTTCCATGCTAAGACAAAAAAGATGTTGAATGGAATAATATAATTACGTTATTTATTATAGTTGAGATTCTACCGAGTCGTACAAAGGATCAATATCAGAAAATTTTAAAAATGCCATCTATCTTTGCTAAAGGTCGCGCTGTAAGTTTTGAGATAGAGTCCGCATATAAACGGAACATTTGTGTGTGTCAAATCTCATCACCTAACGACAGTTTCTGGGCTACAATAGTCCACTCTCATTGATCATAGCAATAGTAAACAAACATGAGGTAGTGTTTCTGCTACTGTGTCATTATGATTTTTGCTTAGATGTTACCGTTTTTTATATGAATTTCTCAATGTTTTCATATATCTAGTGAAACACTTAAAGTAAAGATACTTAATGTTACATGTGCTTTGTTTGGCTTGTGAAAGGCTTGCAGCGACCTCTAAGCGACTTCCTAACCTAATTACTTTTCACTCACGTCCTTCTTTGGTCGTTTTCTTTTCACCACCCAAACAGCACTACCTGGAGCACTTACGTGGGGCACGGCACACCTCCCTGATGAGAAGAAAAAAAATTGCCGGGACGACATCGAGGCTCGCTATGCCACCTGCATTACCAATTCAATCGCAATCAATTCAGGGAGCCAGTCGTCCCCGCGTTCCTTCATTAACATCACATAATATTTTGTGCAAACCAGCCTGCTTGTCAAACTCTTCCACACGGCGACTGTCATGCTTTGAAAATAAGCAAAAAAAAAAAAGAGGAGTTGGCGAGGGAAGGGGGCAGGGAGCAGGTGTAGCAATGGAAAAAAGAGAGAAATAGCACGAGCGTAATCTTTTGTATTTCCGGCTATGCAGTGCTACCTTTTATTCTACTTAGACGCTTTATTCCTATGCAGATTTTGACTCACATGATATTCACTGACAAGCAAACACTGCGATCGGCCGCAATCATCGATTCGACTACCCTCCGCATCAGTTGCGTGCCTGCTGCTTATGCTACGTTACGGGCCCGTTTCTCAATCAGGACATATAGAAAAAGGCCAAATAGTGTCCGAACAATAACAGAAACCACCTGCCTCATCACTGGTCTTCCCACTTGCCATAGCTTCTGTACTATAAGACATAGTAATGTGATCTAAGAACTTACTTGTTGTTCGACAAAGGTCTTGGCCAGACTTCGTGAGACCAGATGCCCCCATCGCTTCACCGCTATAATACATACGCATTTGCTCTTGGAGCCGAACGCGGCAGTATAAAGGAGATTGTACATAGGCTATATGTACACCATAACGGTACACCAAAGGCAAATCCTTACATGAAGTTATAGACGCAGAAAAAAAACCATGCCTCTACTAGTTTTCCAATTGTACTCTCACTTCATTCACTCATTGTCACCCACGTTTATTAGTTTGCGCCCTAATGTTATTTATTATTGACATTATTGTTATTACTGTGTGTCTCTTTATTATCGAAGTTAACATAGCCAATAATCAGTATAACTAGCTTTGTTAGTAGTTTATGCTTGCGGTTTTCTCCCACTTTTGTGCATTAAAAGTCCGCTATAACTCCGTCGAATAATGACGTATTACGCAATGTCACAGTTTGGTACTATCACCTAGAACACTCCTACCTGGTATCCTCTAATTTTGCTAGTAATCTTATCTCGTTCTCGTTTGTTTACCGATCCGGTTTCTTTTTGTTGTCTTGGAGTTATTTATACAGGGCGATTTATATGGCTACACGTTACAGCTAGATACGGGATTTGCTGCCAAAACGGTAGATTCTGTCCGACCCGCGTTAGCTGTCGTTTCAGCCAGATCTGTGAGTGGCTGAACGTTGGAGGTAAGCAATGGTTGCCGGCTGCTCCGGTCAGCATTGACGGCTGTCGGTTCCATTGGAGCTTCGATTCCATTGGTCTTACGGACACTCGTATTAATTAAGACATTTTTCGAAAAGAAACAAGGTAGGACAAGCTTGAATTCCTTACGAAAGTTCTCATTGAGCCATGCGTACAAAAATGGATTATAACACGCTGAGCTCATGGCAATCGCGTGCGTAACAAAGAAGACAATATTTGCGTATTTCCAAGCCGTGTACTCGGGATTGAAGTCCATGATCACATGGAACATGTTCAGTGGAAGCCACGACGCCCCAAATATCACCACCATCGTAATCAGCATACGGTTCGTTCGCTTTGCACGTTTGCGTTCGAGCTCTTCCTTTTGCTGGGATTTGGCACCAGGCATGTACTTTGCACGCACCGCCAGCCGAGAGCATACTCGCACATAGCAAAGTGCCATGACGATGAAGGGCACGATAAACTGCAGAATCGACGTCGCTGACGTGAACGTCTTCCTATACCGCTCGTCCGGCCAGTCCTCGAAGCAGATATCACGAGGAACATCGGCAGTGGCTGGGCGAATCGCCATGAACATCCCATACGGAAGTGTTAAAATCAGAGAGATCACCCAAATGAGCGCGATAACGAACAAGCATGTCAATTCCTTCATTCGTGGTCGAAAAGGGTGCAAAATGACGAGGTAACGGTCTATGGCGATCGACATTAAAGTCAGTACGGATAGATAAACGCTAACACCGAGCGAATACGGCAATAAATGGCAGAGCAATTGTCCAAACACCCAGTCCTCTAGGATGTACTCGATAGCTGTTACGGGTCCAGCTAACGTACAGAGGAGGATATCCGCCAATCCGAGATTTGTAATAAAGAAATTTGTCACAGTTCGCATATGACGATTTCGTAGTACTACCCAACAAACGAGCAGATTGCCAGATAGTCCAACGACGCAGATGATCGTGTAGATAATTGCCAGTATACTCTCAAACAACAGTTGTGACGGTGGGTTTTCGTAGAGACTCGAGTCATTGTCATGATACCAGCCCAGGCCTTCCAAGTCTGGGCTGCTGAAATTGCTCTGATTACTTAGCAACTGTTCGAGAATCGCTTCTACATCGTTCATAGTTCTCACTGATGTACTCATCTGAAAACGAAGAAAAAAACCAAGAAAAGATATCAATGTTCGCTGTTTGAAGGGGTGCGTGTGTATTAGACATGTTAATATTCAATTCATGAATTCAATACAGACGGAACAATAGTCACACTGTTCTGGCCGTTTGTCTTGTCCATATATTATCGCATGCTTCAGATAGTACTAGCCTATATGTTATGTCGCTATGGACGACATCGGTATTGTGACATACTCATCGTCGATACCATACCTCTGTGAGTTTTTCAGGGTGAGTTTATGCGTATTACCGTACTCTATCTAGCCCGACGTGCGCTACTAGTTAAGTGTATAGGCTGGCACCTATTGTATTGTATTGTATCACAGATATACATAGATGTAGATCTGTATTAGATGTATACGACATGGTCTTTGTTGACATGTCGACAAGGTTAGACGAGTTCCAGTAATGCTGTCGTTTAGTAGTGATTATTTGTACCACTGTTCAGTTAAGATTGAATCTGGGACGGAGCGGGTACCGTGAGCAGAATTTGATCTGGCCCTGTTGTGCTATAGCGAACGGTGATTAGGGCGGGCATATTGTTGGACGAAAGCTCAAAATTTGATGACTTCGGTAAAAAAGTCTCCTGTACAGTCATATCAACTTGTCCCGTCCCGTTCTGAGCTCGTTCGGGCTTCGCTTGCGAGTTACTTCGTCGGACGGACGGAGCCGGCGTCGCAATCCGGAAACCCGGCAAGACCTGTTTGAACTCCTTTCGGAAGTTGTCATTAAGCCACGCATAGAGGAATGGATTGTAGCAGGTGGAACTCATCGCAACGGCGTGACAAGTGAAGAAGATAACGTTGTACGACGAGGCCGAATAGGCTGCCGCTGGAATGTGGAAATCAATCCATAGATTATGAATGTTTAGCGGAAGCCATGAAGCAGCGAAAAACATCACCATCACTATGAGCATCCTGTTCGTACGCCGAGTTCGTTTTCGTTCAAGTTCCCGAAGGGATTTGGCACCCGATTTGACGCGTACACGCTGTCGCAATTTACAACATACACGCAAGTAACAAAAGCTGACAACTGCGAACGGCAAGACGAACTGCAAAAACGTTGTTAGTAGGCTGAACGTACGACGATTATGTTCGGCTGGCCAGTTCTCCTGGCAGAAAGTGCCGTCGACGACGTGAAAATGCTCGATGAAGGTGCCATATGGCAGAGTGAACATGCACGCTGTTAGCCAGATACAGGCCACTATAGCGGCGCACAATGGCACCTGCATTCGACTGCGGAATGGATGAATGATGACGAAATATCGGTCGACCGCAATGGCCATGAGGGTAAATGCTGATACGTAGACGGATACGCCCTGAGCGAAGGGGACAATATGGCAGAGTGTTTCGCCGAAAAGCCAGGTACCCAAAGCGATATGTGCTGATGTGAATGGCACAGCTAGTACACATATCAAGATGTCCGACACGGCTAAATTTGCTATAAAGAAATTGGTCACATTCTGCATGGCCGTATTCCGTGCTACGACAAAGCAGACGAGCAGATTTCCCATAATGCCAATGCTGAATATAAGGGCGTATACGATGTAGAATAGCAAGCGAATCGGCATCGAATTGCCTACCGCCCCTCTGCTATTTCTGGCATCACTGTCCGACCCATCCTGGGTTAGTATAAGGTCGAACAAGCTCTCATTAAATGTGACGTTTGTTTGGGCTACATTGTTTCCAGTTAGATTGAGACTGAGCAGAAATCGCAACATATCTTCATCAGTGATTTTCATTTTGCTTCCTTTTCTTCGTACTAATCCTTTTCTTTATGTGTGTTCATATGTCGTAAATATGGCGCATCAGGTGGCCTCCCCTTGTCCAAATCCTTGTAGCCCTCCAAACTGTTGCTATTCTACAACGGTAACGTCGTATATATCATACGTGTAAATAGTATTATGCGCCGTACAATTGTACTGTTGATGATACAAGATGTACGTCGACTTCGTGTCGTGTGGCGGGCCACAGCGAGACGGTTATCAACTAAGCCGCTTGGTTGGGTGCTTGGGTTGAACGTCCGAAGTGATTCGCTGGTCCGCTCTGCCCTGCTGGCGCGCTATCTCTCTGAGATCGCAAAAGGGAACACACAATGGAACGATTGCGTTAGTGAAACTCCAGCATGACATGGCATTTGTGCATGCCATGTGTTTATCTTGTTTCGGTGTGGAGGCCGGCGAGCGCTCAGGCAGGACACCGGACGGGACGTGGTCTCGAAGGGCACTTTTCCCTTATTACTTCAATCGGGCTGGGAGTGAATGGTGCACTTTTATTCGAATGCTGCTTCAAGTGGAAAAACTTATATCTCTTTAGAGTCCCTTCTCCTGCGTTTGCGGTAGGTCAACCGAGCATCAGAGCAGACGACGCAGCGAAACCACTACACGACTGACGTCGTTTGAGCGGATTATTCTTTGTACTACCATTAATTAACTGTTTGGCATTTTTCCTGTGTATATGTAGTATTGCATGATGCGGAGCTGTGACCTCTAAGTAAACACCGAAGACTAGCAAGTCTTTCGTTTGAAAGGTCAGTATCATGAATATGATGAGTTTGCGCATCAAGGGCATCGGTTACATGGCGTGGACACCTTACATGATTTGGATGCGGAGACTCACTAACTACTATTAATAGATAACAATGCTTTTTTCGTTCTGCTACGAAGGCTGTTAAAGGTGCTGCACCGTAGCGGCACGTTATTGACCAAAGATTAAATGAAACAGACGTAAAGTAAAGTAGTTACCTAACCTAAAGTCCACAGCTTAGCAAAGCTATATAAGCGAACTGAGCCAAACCAAATATTGTATAATTCATAGCATTACATCCAGCATTATGACGCGACTCGCTTGTCTGACCACATCTGTCTGTTTCTAGACTGATTTGCTGCATCTGCATTGTCGGTCTAAGAAACGTAGACATGGACACAATAGACGCAAGTATGGTGAATGGGTGCTACAAGGGTTGCTATTAAGGCACCTAAGCGCAGGTGGGGCGATATGATCAGGCACCAGGCATCCGCCCCAGTATCCCCAAAAAGCCAGTTCCAATTTGTAAGGCCGCATTATCGCAAATACGTACTGGCAACGTACAGCTGGCTGGGTTTTAGCGGTGTGACTGACCGACTGATACTAATCCAAATATAGGCCACGTATTCGGCCAATTGTTTAACTACGACGACTGGATGAATGAATGGATCGATCTGCTTGCAGGTAGCTTCGCTTTCTGAGTTCTGACTCGCAACCAACGTACTCAATGCACATTCAGAAAGACCACTACCGCCTACCATTATGCTCAACAGTATAGAAAACACAGTGGTTTCGGATCAGTCTCGATGCTATTTTCCAATACCAGCGATGCTACGCAGCGAATATACTGCAATATACTTATGTGCCAGTTACTGCTAGTAGTTAATAGAAATGTATTGTAGAGACATAAAAGGTGGGTGAATTTGGCAGCAGTAGTACTTGTAGTTATTAATAACTTGTACGTTTTCCTTCTCTGTTACACAGAGACGGCTGGCGCGGCGTCCGCTCAGATAAACTTAGTTAAACCCCAAGAGACTCGACAAAGAGCGATTCGAATAAAATTCAGTAATTACAGGATGGTAAGCCATCGTGTACCGACAAGGACCACGGCTATAACGTGCATAAAAGAAATGATATGCAGGAAGTAGTAAAGAAAGTGGATGAAACCAGATCCTACTGTGGTTCGTTGCTCCAGACTAAAGAAATGGAGCTCTTTTGATACATTTAAATATATATATATATATATATATATATATATATATATATATATATATATATATACATACATAAAGGATGCAGGAATTTGGATAATGGGAATCTGTAGATAATGGACCATAAATTGCGGATTCATGCCATTTCATGTCAGCTTAAGGTGTCGAAACTAGTAACCAACATAACGTGACTTGTCATTGGTGATTGCTTATTTCGCATACGTTGTGCTTAATTGTGTGTACGAATACTGTATCTATGTAGACAACTAACTTAAATCATAAGGCAGCTCCCAAAAGGCGAAGATGGATGAGCTTTTAGGGGTCCTTGGGGTAGCAAGTTGTTGTGCACGGCTTATCTAGCATAAGCTTTGCATCTAGGTTAATCATTTTGCGATCCATGACTATAGCTGAGATTTGTGGGAAGAATAGTTTGTTCATTCAGTTTTTTTCCCAGGCGACAATATGGACATGGCAAAATGCGTAAGGAAAGTCGAACGACCCGTGAAAGAAGGAAGACACGTAACATGTTTCGGTTTGAACAAAAACAAGGGAAGACGGTTAGCAAAAGGAAAAAAGCATATCAGAGTCTGCAAAAGGAGGAAGCGATGTAACCATGGTAGCGTATGGCACTCTTACTTATGTAAAATAGGGTTGTTGGTCGTAAGGCTCGTAACGACCTACAATACTTTCGGACCTCCAACAGCACTTTTATTACGACTAGATCTATGAGAACGGCAAAGAACAAGAGGAATCAAGGGTAGACATTAATCTGTGATGAATAAGTCAATTATTCGTGCTTAGAAGCCGAGAGGAGTCTACAGATGAACGCTACTTCTTTTTTGTTTAGCATCATGTAATCAATAGAACTGATGCTATTGTCAATACAAAAGTTCTGGAAGTACGAGACGGGGGAGCGAACGAGGAACGAAGAACCAACCCACCCAAACTGAGGAGCAGAAACGCGATGCCAAAAGTAGTAGTACCATTGAACTATAATTGGGCCACTTTTTACAACTACTATTAATGACTACGAGAGGAGCCGAAAAGCACACAGAAGACTTGTTGTCATATATCTAAGATCACTTAGCACACGGATAATGCTGTCCTAGGTTTACGTGAACGCTATGTCGCGCAAACGGGTAGTTTAAGCAGGCAAAGGGAAACCGTGAAGGATGGAAAGCGAGGAGGAGATACCAGGCCCACACGCCTGACTAGCAGTAGAAACGGTGGTATCTATCTAAACTTACCTTTCTTTTCAAGGTAGACCGAAAATCGGGAAATAAGATTCATCTGGAATGGAGGGAGTGATTTTGGTTAGTACAGTAAAACACCTGCTAAGCATTTCATTATCGTGTGGTTTGTTGTAACTTAAGTAGCATGCGTCAAGGCCAGTGGCCTGTGGATAGAATAACCCTAATTGTATTTACAAAATGACATAAGAAAGTATTTTCAATGAAGTTTTCTTATATATTCCTGAAATTTCCTGGGTATATCATCAGACATTTCCTTCTTTTGCAAATAGGAAGAACCTAGATTTTTCACTAACGTAAAGTTTAGTCAAAACACTGAATGCTAATTTTAGCTGCGCACTTCTTATGTACGCATTGGTAGTCAGATGCGACTATACCCATCGTCGTAACAAGCATATACCTGTTGCAAAGGTCATGCATTGAGTCTAGCATAAGATATGGTTAAAGATAATATGACATTAATGAGATAATTAGTAGAACGATCCAACTAGAGGATTGTCCGACAGTATCTTTGCATATCTCGGGTATGTATTTATCACGCACACTTTTATCGCTTGATATAGACCACAACTCCCTTTCGAGACATTTCCCATTTCAGCAGTAGGTAATACCCAGCCAAGAAATCGATCACTGCGGTCGGCAACCGCACTTTTAAGCCTTTTTTTGTTTTGACTATTTGGAACAGATGGGAGACAGCAGGGTTGCGATTATTACGTCAAGTTCTCGGACAAAGCCCTATTCTGTTGCCTGATGGCTTCCTAGTTAGTATATGGCATATTCGAAAACTTTTTATGTTACCGATACCATATTATCATGGTACTTTGTTTAGTTGTACTTGAATATTGTAAGACATTTGCAACTGTTATATACTTGATATAGACTGTTTTCACTATTATAACATTTGCTTTCGGTCCATTATCAACTATAGCTTATTGAACGCCAGAGCTGCCAATTATAGTGTATATATAATATAGACATGGAATAGGCAGATGTTGAACCACAGTATCCTTATTTTCGCTATTCTGACGTCTTTATTAGGAGTTTACAAGCAAGCAACGACCAAGAGATACAAATTATCATATTATATCAAATTATTTGTATTTTCATAAAACGTGAGCTCGACTCATTGGGCTTCGGGTGGATATGCGAGAGTTCGTATTATAAAGCCCAATGCACATCTTTCCCCACTAATGTAACTAAAAAGTTTCGTATTGCAAATTGGATCTATCCATTTTCCGTTACGATTTTCGTTTGTGGCCCTGCCCTATAAGTTCCTACTGGTGGCAGATCGTCTTACACATATGTTTTTTTTTGCACCCTCTGTGCACCGTATGCGTTCATGGAGGCGAAGTCTTGGTGTAACCAAACTCGAACCAGCGTCTGAGCGACTAATGAATATCCGAGAAGAAGTCAGCCACTGAAGGTTTTAAGCCACCTTCAATAACTGTACATTGTACAAATGATATGGCGCCAGTTATTCCTTGCCAACATCTCAGTGTTTTCTGACTGCTTCCACAAGCAGAACCTACGAATCTGTGTCAGAGAAGAAAGTCGGCATTTTCATAGTATCATCAGATGACTCACCCCTAGACAAAGACAAAAACGGATAGAGATGCCTTAGTCTAGAAGGCGATATTAGAAATGGTCGTGTATGTACTAGATAATCAGCAGAAGGCGCACCGGTGTATGAGGAAAGTTGCACATGCCATTATCATAGGGTCAACCATTGTGCTTAGAACGGTGTCTAAAAAACTTCAGTGGGCTGAAACTAAGCCATCCCTTTGTCCCCGTGACTCCCTGACACAACCAAATTTATCCGAGAAGTTCCTGGCAGTGACGGATCAGCAGATTGCGTTTGTCACCGTCATCGATAACGACTACTACAATGACTGCTTCGCTCGCTGCAGCTACTTTAGCTACCGTTATTTATTATAGATAAACGTCTTCTCGCTGTTCAGCACTTTCTACCGGAGCAAATGCTGTTACCAGGCGCTCGCTGTAGGAACTCTACTTTTCTTCCACAATACAGGGGTTTTTCCGGTGGCTTCTATTTCAAAAACTGCAAGTATTCATTTTTTGGTAGAGGCGGCAGCAGCGGCTTCGGTTAAGGCTACTGACGGAAGTGGATATCAGTGGAAATGAAGACAGGCTTGTTGGTTAGTCGGAGGCTGCGAAAGAAGAACAAGGGGCCTTCATTTTCCCTTAAGTGTTTCCTCTTTCGCTCCAACTTTATATAGCCGCCATTGCCACTTTTCCCGGAAGGCCTCTATCATTTTGGCACTCGCTTCGTCAGATTGTTGGAAGCCATCACGATACACTGATGTCTTTTTCATGCCGTTTGGATCTACCATCTCCTGCAGAAAGATACCCTGTGTGACGTGATTTCCTTCACAACTTTATGACTATCCCTACCGCGCCGCTATCGATTCCTCGTTGTTCCGCGAAGCTTGAGAACAGCTGGCTAGAAACATGACTGACTGTTTGTGATGGTCAATGAAATCGAATGTTTTCGTTAAGGCCCTTAATATGACCCAAACAATGGTTGCTACTTATCGAGAAAACGAGAGACACCGATGGCACTAGGACGCTGAACAGGAGACAGAGAAGAAAAGTAAAGAGCGAAGGATAGACAATCACAAGCTTTTAGATTCGAAGTTTCGTAAGTGCTGCAGGACCTTGCTGCTATAATCTCGTAGAAGTCGGGAGTGAGGAGCGGAAGGATTTTCCCTGCGGGCGCTCTCCGTAAAAGTCACCGCCACACTTTCTCATTTTGCCATCGTTATCTCGTTTGGCATTCACGTATACGACAGCATAAATATATCTTAACATCGCCATCATAAGCCCCACCTAGCAGAGAATACGACTTTTGGATTTGTTGCTGCTGTTAGCAGAGCTCTGGCTGGCCTAGGATATAGCACCGATCACGAAAATAGCTAAGGCCCGCCCTGAGCGGAGGGCAAAAGGGAGAAGAGATATATCCGATCTCATGAACTCCATTCGTCACCATTGAGCATGACACGTATCTGAACGGTGTCTTTGCACTCTTAGCCGCCGGAGGTTGGACGACTATTACGGCGGAAGGGCACGAAATAGGGAACAAGCGCTAGGTACGGCCTTATAATACGAAGATAACACGCACAAACACAGCTTTGTACGTGGACTCTATATGGACTCTTAAGCGGAGTCCCCGATTTACTTCGTGACCTGCTGTTTTATACAATACTTGGAAGCACTGAGTCGCACGAGTTGGCTGAGGCGCTAGTTAGAGGCATTACAGGAAAGTGTCGCAAGTGCTCTGTCGATTGGATCTCCATAATATTATGGTACATCATGATGCACGCGGCTCCCCGCGTATCATTTCAAGCCATCTGGTACGATACAGTTATGTATTACCCGTGTCATAAGGTTTCGGATATACTTTTGGGAACAAGCACAATTTTGAAAAAATAACCTTAAACGATGACGGATTAAATGCAAGGCGTCATCCTTAAGAAGTACGAATACTAGAATAAAATAGGCTCTTATTTTCGTAAAATAAATAAAGTACTCTTTCAGGTGTGCGAAGCGTATGGAAGGTATTCGAATAATAGGGTTACAACGACTTCGAGTATGGCAAAAAAGAAACAAACGCTTCTCTTGACTTTTTTGTATTTTGTTGATTATGACATAGGTAATAATATACTTTACTCTGATGCATATAAAACAGCATATGTAACGCATGTAAATGTCGTTATGATTTGTGCAGGTGTGCATTGCCTTATAGGGGGCGACCGAGCTATTCGCAAACCTTATTTGCTATTCTAAAATACGGTAATATCCTCCTCATTGTCTATACTCTTCTATTTATACCTGTAGAATACACTACACAATGTTATTATTCTGTGAAATTTTTGTGAGTATATCTGTATCAATTTATTAATGCTAAGTTACGTAATTTGTATAGAATATTATTCCTAGTAGCAACTCTAATAAACTCATCAGCTATATACAAATAGTTCAATACCGAAAACAAGACAAACATAAATTCTGATTTGGCTAATCCTTTGCACGTATTGCAGTCTATCAGAGGTAGTTGGCGCCGACGTTCACATAATAATAACAGTAGGGTTACTGATATGGGCGGGTGTCCGTATATTCCGACCGCTATTGTCCGCTATATTGCGACCTAGCAGATCCACAGCATCATCACTCACATGTGATAAGTTCACACAGCTAAATTAACACGGATTGATCATGTTCTCTTTCGCACACAGTTTTTTTTCCTTTCGAAACACCGCACCTTCCTGACCGGGGAGCACTCTCAATTTGGTCATTACCTTACATCGTATCAGCCACTTGTAAACAATCTGAGACGGGTAAGCGGTGCAGTGAAACGCAGGTCCTGACAATGTCATTCTCTAAAAGCACTGTGAGGTGTAACTATCGTCTTTTCGATCGAGCCTACCTGCGTCTTGGTGGAGTCCTGCAGGCTCGCAGTCTCCGCGAACAAAGAGACCGCTACCCCAATAGTTTTCTGGACACAATAGGATAGAATGATACGACGTGCTAGGCTGGCCGGTCGCTCCTGTAGCGAAGACGAATATTACGTCACGAGTAACGCAAACGCCTGTCTTAACACCGTAAACAACAGGATGGCGTAGCAAACATGGTTTAACCACGCTAGGCGTGCTACTAGATGTAGACAAGAAACGGAGATGAAGGCAACTATTGTAAAACTTTTTCCATGTTTTCAACTAACGTGATCACGCAGTATAAGTGTAGCAAGTCGTTCTCTAGGATAAGAGCCGCTGGGTCCGTGAGGTACCGACATCAGTAACGCACCTAACGGGTGTTCGTATCGAAAAGACTTAGGCTACCTTGGTGCTAAAACTTACAGAAATGGTTGGGCTACACACAACCAGGACTGGCACATTATCCTATCTTTATGGCAAATGAAGCTGCGACAAATATCGCGCAGAGGCCCCCTTGGAATCTACGTCGAGTAATTTGTACATTATTACAAAAGAGTACATTGTGTGTGATATGGTAGTACGCCTTGCTAACTTGTAACGAATACCGTATAGACAACGAGAGCCATTCAGAGTTTTGTTGCCAACAAAAGCGAAAGAGCTAAAAAAGGAAGCATCGAGCGAATCAGAATACATAGAAGATGTTCTATTAGATGCAAACGTAACACCTAGTAGAACATCGT